CGTCCAGTACGGGTGCAACACTGGGGGTTGCGATCCATTGTCGGACATGAAAAAAGACAAAAAGGAAAAAAAAAAAAAAGCTAGGCCAGTTGAATTCTCGCCTCTGGGAACTTACATCTGGAGCATGACCAGTGATTTAATAATTATATTGCTTTATATCCTGATATCCAGTGAACTCCCTGGCTTATCTTCAGGACTAAATAGGAGTAGACATTTCAGGCCAGACAGATCAACTGTCAGTCACATTAATTACAACAATAACTTTTTACATTTAATACTTATAAATTTTGCATACATGCCCATGTTCTTATTTACAGGCATTGAACAAGTGACAACCATTGCGTGATAGTTTGTTAAAAGCAGAAAGACTGGATTTCAAATCTAGGAAAATTTTTGTTTCTACCCTTGACAATTTTTTATAGAAGTGTGGAGATTTCTAACAGTCACTACAGAAGGGAAACAAGCAAGGTTCACTTTGAGGTTTTTAACTTAAGGCCTCAAATTAGGTGTATTTAGGTTTTTGCTATGTACGAAGAAGATACCCAAAATATTTTTGTAACACATTGAGGATTTATAAAATAGGAAAACTATGATTTGAGCAATAGTTTATATATTTGTTGTAAATGGAGTACTGCTTATTTTGGAGGCTCCTATATACATAGGTACTTAAACCATAAGCTACAGCATTTTAAAATAAATGGACTCAGAATATATTTTGTAAGTTTATGAAAGCTGATATATTAGATCTGGCATATAGTAGATGCTCTGTGTTTATGTGTTTATTGACTTTATTTAGCAAACATTTCGGTGGCGCTCACTATATTAAGTCTTTATATCAATGCTGTGATTTTCCCCTATTTACAGATGAGGAAACTGAGGTCGTGGAGAGATTAAACAACTTGTCAAAGGTCCCACAGCTGAAGCTAAATCTGTCTTGCTGACTAGTCAGTTTAATTAATCACCCTGCTAGGCTGTCTCTGTGGAATGAAATGATGAACAGCCCGCATGAAACAATTATTTTAATTAACTTCAATATCAGATGCTAATAAAAATAATTGTGTTCAGTTATTTCATAATTATTTATTACCTAGTACATGCTAGACACTGTACTATGTACTGAAACTATAGAGTAAACAAAATAGGCAAAGTATTTTTTTTGTTTGTTTCTGTATTCCTGACTCCCAGCTCAGTTCATGGTAGATATTAAAGAATGCATGAATAACAATAAGAAAAAGTGAGTGAAATACAACCTACAGTGTTTTTTGTTGGTTTTTAATTTGAAATTGTTTCCTGAAGGATAAAATACATTTATATAGAGAACATTTTATTCTGTAGAAAATTTTTTTTTCCTCTTTTTTTTTTTTTACTGACCGGTAACGGGATCGCAACCCTCGGTGTCGCACCCGCACCGGGGACCGGCAACGGGACCGCAACCCTCGGTGTTGCGCCCGCACCGCGCTCAGCCAGTGAGCGGGAACCGGTCTCCACATGGGATCCGAACC